ATTAAGCTCCCTTAAAGTATAAAAGTATAAGTTTACAAGGACAGGATCGAACGTATACTGAGTAACTAAATGATAAAAATGTGATCAAAATTAAATGAAAGGCTAAGAGTCTAAGCGCTGTCTGATAACGAAACGGCCTGTCATTTAATAGAGACGTGAAATACTGGGTGGACTAAGTCCTGAACTCCTGCGAAAACCGAGAGAGAGGAACGCTCAGGGCTAAGGAGACTAAACAGGAAATGTGGTGGTGGTGGAGGGAAAACAATAGAAATGTGGCGGTGGTGGTGGTGGTGGTGGTGGAGGGAAAACAATAGAAATGTGGCGGTGGTGGTGGTGGTGGTGGAGGGAAAACAATAGAAATGAGGAGGAGGAGGAGGGAAAAATGGGAATAAAAAATTGCGGAAGGAAAATAACAAAATTGTGAAAAGGAGAGGGGTAAGTAAAACATTGTTTGCAGTGTAAAAAAGAGCTATTTTGCCTTTTCCCTCATTAATATGCACGATTTGCCCGCCAAAAATCAGTGAACGGGAACTAGGACAATCACAGCAGCAGCAAATAGGACAAGAGCTAGTTTGTCTTTGCCCTCATTAATATGCACGATTTGCCCGCCAAAAGTCAGTGAACCGGAACTAGGACAATCACAGCCGCAGGAAATAGGACTTGCATAATAACATTACGCCTCCGTGATTTTAAGTCACAGACAGGTTTGACTTTGCTCCTCAGACAGTATGAATTAACCAATAAAAACGTTTCTTATTTTCTAACTAACCAATCGAAACGAAGACGTTTATCGACCTTAAAGTAACTAGAAATCCTAAACCAACTAAAAATAGCACATGACCTTATCTTTATGAGATTCCTGCGCATTTTATTCATGAGATCAAGACAATAGCCTATGACGTCATCGGCGTTAATGTATTCCTGCTCACGCTAATGAGATTCCTGCTCAAAAAACCGGAGTAACCGGTGCGCCCTATACTACTGCTTACCAAGGACAGGGTTGTGGTGCTTAACTTTCAGCCGCGCTCCGTCGAGTGTATGCTCCTTGGCCATGACACCATTAACATCTGCAATAAAACAAGAAACATAAAAACGCTTTGTTTCGATTTACAGTAAGCAACAAATCAATTGTTAACAGGCTACAAAAGATATCTCTCCTCTGAAAAGGGCTACAATGACTGCCCTCTTAGCGTGACGTTACATACCATCTGGGTTCTCGAAGTAAACTAAAGCCCAGCCATCCTTTATATTCAGTTCTACGCTGCTGACATCACCGCCACCGCTCTTATGTTTTTCAAAGTAGTAACGAAGGGCATCCTCGGTTGTCTTTGCCGTGTTCAACCCTGTTACTTGCACGCAGTGACAGACAGGCACTTGCTCTACTGCCAGCATATTGCCATCAAGAGGTTTCTTTGCAACTTTCTGAGTAATAGTATCGTAACCTGTAAGTGTAAAAAATACCATCGGCTGAATATGTGACCAGATTCCTCTTACCGTGTAGCAACAATTTTTGCGGGTACTAATATTTGCGATTTTTGCGATTTTCCAGCGATTCGGAAAAATAAGCTCCCGCCGCAAAAATTACCGCAAACATTTTTTCCGCAAAAATTTACTCCAGAGTAAATATTCTGTTACTTAAATTCGTTGAACAAAATACAGTATTAAGAATTCGTGTATCTTCAATGACCGCTTGTCTCAAGATTCCGTTCTTTCAGTCACTGAAAATGTAATTGTCATCGAATGGCAAAGAAAAGTAATCTGTTTTACTGGTTTTGCATTTGGTACGCACACCGTAATATTGTCTGAAAATATGAATTTCTATTGCACGTACCCGATAAAAATGAAAATATTATCAATGACTTGTCCGGGACCTTCTGAAAATAACAAAATTTTTTCCCAGCAAGAAAAACCAATCTGTCCCAGTCACAAAAATCAGTTTCTTCAAAACAAAAAAATCGCCTTTCCTCAAAAACAAACTCCCGTAAAAATTTCGTGCCACACGATATTTAATGGTGAAAGAATAAAAGAGGGTAAATTTTAACCTCGGTAAACAAATGTGAAGATGAACAATAAACGATGAGACCTAATGGATTTATGGGTAGGACTTGATTAGCTTTGCAAATTTAAAGTTCTTTCCACAAAAGTTCACATTATCGAAGCTTTTCGTGATGATACATTCCAAAAATGTTTAAAATGTTTCCAGTTTACTTGGTGATAAGTTCACAAGTTAACCTGCGTAGGGCATATCAGGGATCTCTATAGTTAAACGAGCGTAGCCATATGAAAATCATAAGATAGGATCTGAAAGCTTTCATCTTGAAGGAAATAAAAAGGCAACGGCATGCTTTAAACGAAGTACTCTGGGGATTTGCATGCACACGAGCAGCTCGTGACAATGTGTCTGAACTCTTGTTGAAAGAACTTTGAATTTGCTTTGCTTATGGACGTATACCCATAAATCCTTGAAGCCTTATCATTCATGGTTTACACTTTTTAAGGAAAAAGGTGTTTTCAATCAGGTACATCATACTCATGCAGCCTCATCCACGTTAAACCAAATAAACTAACTTACTATATGTTTCCTTGAATACAACTAGTGCACCGCCTTGCTCTCCAAATTGTACATCTAATACTTCCAGTCCACTCGCTACTTCCATGAAAGTCTCTAAGCCGTCCCTGGTGGTTTTTTCACTCAGACCTTTCACAAAAAGCGTCTTGGTATCAACTGGCAGTTTCTTGGTTGGTTTGCGCAGAGTGACCGTCAGCTCTGCATTGTCAAGGGTGAGATTTTCTTTATTCAAAACTCCTCGTGCACCTTAAATGTAACATTAATAAAATTGTTAATTTATTTAACAAATTCCATAGAAATGCATGTCGATCTTGAAGGATAGGGAATTACGAATTATAGCGACTAGGGAACAACTAATTACGTGACTAGTATGTTAGACCACGGATGTACAAAAGCCAGCACTCCTTGTCTTTAGAAGCTTTTCACCTCATAAAAAATAGCACAGGAATTTTTTAACCATCATGAGCAGCTTATTTTCTTTTCCAGGACATTGAGTTGCCCTCTAGGGCCGGGATGACCAGGTTGCCTAGAAGATGTATTGTAGAAAATAAGGAAGGAAATCAGGTCCCATTTTCTTCTTTATGAACGTTTTCGCCTATCGTATAAAAAATGCACCTTTTTTCTGGTTGATTAATAGGGATAGAAAAGACATAAAAAGAAAATAGACTAATAATTTTTTTAAAAGGGCCTATTTTCGGTTATCAACAAACTCACTTTCAGCTGACATAAACGTTATGACAGAAAATCCTTCTTCAGGATTGAATTCCATGCTATGTATATCTCCGCCGCCGGATCGTCGAGTGTTTTCAAAAAAGTTTCTGATAGAATCTTTAGTTGTTGTCGGAGCAAGTCCATTTAATTCAATGGTTCGAGAATGTTCCATATCTTTTTGGTCAGTCTGCTCAACTTCCAGGGCGCCTACTTTAACGGCTAGGGAAGCTCCGTCCAAGAAGTGCTGTCGACGTTGTAACACAGTCTTCAGAACTAAAAGTGAAGAAATCGAAAGACTGGTTGTTAGATTTGTTTTCAATTTTAGTCAGAGAATACAGAACGTGTAACGTAATTAATTCAATTGCTCACTTCTTTCTCCGTTCAGGTTTTAACAGGGTGAAATTTTGGAAGGGTCTCACTCAGTCAGACGGTGTGCTCTTAACAAAGATTGTTATAAAACTACAAACTCTTATTGTAAGGTGTGTGTGTGGGGAGGAGGAGTGGAGAATTTTCTTTACACTGTCGTTTGTTTGAGGATGTCATCCAGAAAGACTGGATTCTATTAAAAGCTTTCTTCAAGACTGTGGGCTGTTCTGACAGGTGATCTGAGGTTGAAACTGTGGCCAGGTCGTCAGTGTCACAGCAAATTGTTCGTTGTGGATATCAAACGTTGTCTTTATATTAAGCGGGTTAATTTAAAAAGAAATTTATAGAGTTTTAGTCACGGCAAAAAACCTGGTCTGTTATGAAAGGAATTCCGCACAGAAAGGGTTCTAAAACGCAACTGTATATGGCGCTGCTGGGGCTGGACCTGTGACATTAATCAGGATGGTCGCCAGTTTGGATTTTGATAAAAATTTAAAAACCCCAATTTTTACGTGTGCAAAATGTGTTTGAGGAAAAAAATACTAGCTGCTGAAAAGAGAAAGTTCTGATTTAAAGACATTTTGACAAAAATCCTCGGAAAAATTGTTAAGAGGGTGGAGTGTACATCTGAAGGTTGAACGGATGAAAGCCAATAAGGGACAAGACTGAACAAATGAGGAAATTAAGGTGGTTTAAAATGCATAAATCGATCGAAACATTTTAAAGTAGGTTCGAAATGCGGCCACGCCCAATAGTTTCTTCATGTTCCTATAACTGCAGTTTCACATCTTTTCAATAGCACACAATGTTTCTTTTGTTCCTTTTTTCCTGTTTTCGCTCTTCCTGGCTAACTGAGCTCTTGGAGCGGGGTACACAATGACTTACCATTTGCATCCTGGAAGGTCACAAAAGCCCTGCCTGTGTCAGGTTGAATAGTTACACTTTCTACCGCTCCACCACCAGATCGCTGCTGGTTTTCAAAGTAGTTCCAAAGGGAGTCTTCAGTGGTTTTTGCTGCAAGGCAAGTGACCATGATGGTCTTGGCAGCTTCCTTGTATTTTTTAGACATCTCTTTGGTGACTTCGAGATTAGCTCCATTCAAAGTGTGCTTGTCTTTTTCATCAACAATTTTGGCCACTAGAACAACAGGATTTTATGTTGAGGGTGGTGGTCAATTAACACATCCATAAAATTATTATCAAGAACAAGAAAAAGTTTTAGTGACTAAATATAATATAAAAGACAAATAAAACAAAACGAAAAAACGACTGTGATTTTACAGAAATAAAACTTAGATTCGTGCTGTCTGTACTTTGATAAATTATAAGCCATTGTTGAGTTACGATTTGAAATTTAAATTAGTTCATTAAGCAAATCGATGTTGAAATTACGCATTGTCTAAAACATCTTGTTAAAATGTTTATGATGTGTAATTGTTCCTCAAAATGGCTAGGGACTACGTTGTATATTTTCGTTTCAATTTAAAGCTAGGCTTGCGTTGACTATACAGTTGTGTACTGTACAGAATGTTAGCCTGCGAACGGCAGACTCATTTCCGGTCGTCGCCTCTCTCCCTGCGAAAAATAGCTCAGGGACCTTAAGATCAGATGACGGCGACGGCAACGAGAACGTCATTAAAGCAGTAGGTTTAATAAGCAAAACAACAACTTTGCACCTGCATCACACTTTTTTGTACATTTTTTTGCCGTTTTTGCACGACTGCGACGTGAAAATGCCAAATTTGATGTTTTTGAGAAGACGTAAACAAGCAACGACGAAATTTTCTTTCTCTTTGTTAACTTGGATAAGGCTCTTAGGAATTCAACTCCAGGAGAGTTGGCGTACATTCGACAAAGTAAGCGAGATGGAATAATCGCGGTGAAGATTGAAAAACCGCGAGTTCACTTTTAAAGCGACGTTTTACCTGCTGTCGCCGTCCTCGCATCTTAAGGTCCCTTCGGAGGGAGAGAAGTGACGACCGGAAATGCGTCTACCGTTCGCAGCAGGCTAACAGAAAGTAGACATGATTATTTTTTACTGGCACAGCATGGCACCGTATGGCGTGAGTAACTGCAACGGATGACAGACGGCACATGCATGTATAACGGCGTGAAACCTTGAGTTAACCTTTAATGTTTTGTCATTTATTAGTTAGAGTTCTGAGTTGTTTTTATAAAAAGGCTGAAATAATAGAGTTTGGGACTTTGTCAAACTTTTTATTAGCTTTTTATTAAAATATAGAATTTTTCATGGAAACAAATAATCTCTTAGTTCGTTCAAAATGTGTTGTTTCATTTGTTTTCATTTAAAGGTTGACTTTCCTGTACAGTGGTGTACTGCCCGTGAACAGTTTTGTTGTGTTTTTATGTTGTTTCACTGGCGGAGCAGGGCACTGTCTGGAAAGCATCAAAGTAAAAACTTCAGAACTAGAAGTGAAGAAATCAAAACGGTTCGAGATTCTTCCATGTCTTTTTGGTAAAATGTATCTTAAAAATTGTAAAGCATTTTTTCAGTAAAATGTATCAAACTTCCAAAAATAAGCTTACAAGGCTACGCATTTTTCGTCGCTTTTTTCGTTTGTTTGTTTATTTAAAAAGTGCGTTTTTTTGGTTTGCTATTTCTTGAAGTTTTGTTCAAGCAATTTAAAATCACTGACATTGAACTCAGTCCTCAACTGTTCTGTCCGGGTAGTAATCAAGTGAACTAATTACCTTTTCCGATTTCCTTCCTTTTCACATTCCTCTCTTCTCCATCTTCCAGACACGTTTCCTTCATGTGTTTGAAAACAATCTCACACCTGTGACCATCAATGTTTAATAGTACCGATTTCTGACCATCCTTTTGCGCGGTCTCTATCTGAAAGTTTACCCTTGGGTCATATGGCAGCCAATCCTCCTCATCGTCTTCTTGATAGTACCATTGCGTGTTTTTGCACAGGAGTTCTTCGATTCCTCTATTGTGCTCTTCCTCTATGTACTTATTCAAAATTTCCAGGATAGTGGTGACAACATCTAACACGTCTTCTGCGTCACCTCTTACGGATATGCGACCAATGTAAACTTCTATCCTTATAATGACGTCGTATTTTACCTCCAAGTTATGTATTTTACTTGTCTGTTCCTCGGAAAAGTGGCTAATGGCATCGTGTTCAATCACTTTCGCAGTGCAGCTATCAGCCAGATCTTTCTGTATTTCTTCTTCAGCCTTTTTGATGTCTTGCTTGGTTCCGGCAAATATTTCTAAGTAGCTGCCAACTTCAAGATCAGCAATCCTGGACAAAATACCTTGTCCTCCCTCCGCCGAAGAGACACATGATTGCATTGCACTGCGAAAATCGTGAAACATGTGTCTTTGATGGACAACGATTCGTATGAAATGAAGTGAGTTTGGCTGTCCCTGAGCAAATTTGGCAATTGCAACTAACATCTCTTTGGCTGCTTCTTTTACGCCCACTTGGACATTTCCAGTTCCGATTGCTGGAAGAGATATGGAGGTCATCCCGTGAACATCGGCTGTTTTTAGACACTTCAAGAGGCAACCTTTAATAGAAGACATTGTCATTATTTCTGGCACCATGTGGTAAATCTTCCTCACTTTTAATTTGCCTGCCCCGGTAACTGCGACTAAACCTGTTGGTTGGGCACCCAGAGAAGAGCATTCTGCCTGAATTTCTTTTCCTCCAGCAGAAATAATTGCCTTACCGACACCTCCTCCAAATGCAACATCTAATTCTGTATTTGATAATGTGCCGATTGCATCTGTTACCTCTTTGGTGAGGTCACCAGTCTCAACTTGAACAGTGACACTTCCCATTTCGATTTCAGGTTTCAATAAATCTAATTCTTCTGGGATTATGTAAAAGCCGTCATCTTCACCAGGTGATTCATTAGGGTGTGGCTTTTTTGCTGCCGATCCACGCGACTTTTTGAGTTTCTTCTTTCCATTTACCGCTGTTGCCGGTGTCACTGTGTGGGAAGAGTTTCCTTTACGACTTTGTAGCTCAGTTTGGAAGGCTTGAACTGAGGGCAAGTCTTGGTCATAAACAACCAAGTGGACCTCTTTAACGCAGCTGCTTGGATTGTTTTTACTAAATGTCAGTACCTCGTCAAAGGAAATAGCAGCAACTCGATCGCGAGGAAACTGAAGGTTTCCAATTCCAATGGCAGGTATGGCAATACTTAGAAGATTAAGTTTCTGTGCTTCCATCAAGCTCTTCTGTAGGATATCGCGCAAAACCTGAAATAACAGATGGTAAAGTGTTACTATAGCGGATAGAGTGTTTGTGTACTAGGTAGTTGTCACATTACGCACAAAAAAATGGCATCTGGATAGCAGCTCGGGATTAAAAGACGCCTATTTTGCATTTTAAACAACAGACTCCTCCCTCTCCCACTGTGAATCCTTGATGTTGAATGTTTTAATGATATATTTTTATTTACTGATACACATGCAGCTTTGTTTGGATGGCTATAGACTGAGTTTCTCTCATTTACTAAAACCTTGGCAAAAAATTTATAGCATTTCATGACACATCATAAAAAGGAATTGGGGCATTACATAACGAAATCTGGTATTATGAATGTTATTTAGAGAAAAAAGTAGATTACTGTACCTGTTCACCCTTTCCATTTTCCCATCCAGCACACAATGTGTGGAATACATGCTTGGATCCCAAATTTTCCCCTCTGGTCACCACAATATTACCAGTTTCTACTTTACCAATTGCCTTACATTCCTGCTGAAGCTTAGGACCAGCTACGCCACTCAGAGCTTTCGCACTTGCGTTTCTACTGGGATTTAAGTCTGAGGAGGTAGAGCTTACGATGGCGTCAACCTATGAAAGAAACAATAAAAGATCGTACTTAACTGTGATTTAGTTAAATTGTGTAAAGTTATTGTCAACTAATTTACGGAAGAGGTTACGACGAAGAAGGTAAAAGGTCCTAATAGCCAGCGTGAAAACACTTAGGGCGTGTTAAGATGCAACCTGGATAAAAAGCAAGTCTACAATCTAGCTAGCTGGGAATAAGCAACTGCAATAAAATAGTAGTTTTCCTCTTAAAATTGGGTATTTTTTTCTTTAAACATTTTTCATGAAAAGAAGTTAAGAAATCACGACGGATACTGGATACTAATAATTATCATGATTCAGTGTTGCAGATAATATTATGGAATCATTTTTGCGGAGTTCCAAAAACCCTCACTTTTAAAATGAGGCCAGGTGCACAACCTTTCATTTGAAAATGAGTTTTACTTACGTGAGAGTGAAAAATGATTTCTATATCAAATGCTGAGCACCTACCCTCGTTTTGAAACAGAGGCCCAGGGGAACTCGGAAACGGCCTATTCTGTTCACTGGTGAGTATTAAGTACCAACTCTAAGTTTAAGCTGAATGTTTATTAGACGTTCAAAAGATCTCCGTTTTCAAAATTAGTTCTAGGTCAGCTAGTAAACCTTTTCTTTTTCCCCCCTAAGCAGTCCAACTTTGCCCATAAACCCTTAGGAAATCTTTACAAAGAGGAGCTGTAAATTTTACGGATCGGATGCTGTTTAAATATATTAGGGTGCAGTGACTCACCTCTACGAATCATGTCACCAGGCACAACAACCACTTTTAAACCTTCTGCTGACATCATCTCATTTGATTGAGTTTTTTGAGGGCTATTATCAGAAACAGCTAGTGGCGTTGAAGGAGCTGCCTTTTTCTCTTTCCTTCGTTTGCCTTCTACTTTGCCGCTTACTTCTGATGCGACTTTCCCTCTCGAAGAATGTTCAAAATTGGGATCTTCCCTAAACCTAGTTGTCATCTCGGTAACAAAAGCTTTGACAACTGCATCGTCGGTGCTGGTAAACTGAATTTCGGACAACTGGCAGCCTGGATTTTCTTCAAAAAACTCCAGTGTTGCGTCGATCATAATGTTTGCGCAAAGGTCACATGGAAATTCATAGGCTCCTGTGCTTATAGCAGGGAAGGCTATTGATCTGAACTGTTTTGCAGCATCTAAGGCATTACTCACTGCATAGCGAAGGACCCTCTCCTCCTTTGGAGTTTTTCCCATTGACTTTTGTCGCGCTGCTTCCTTTCTCCAAAATGGCCCCACTGCATGAATGACTTTCTTGAAAGGCAACTTTCCAGCAGTCGTAGTGACAACTTGACCTTCCAAAATGGAACCTAGTTCGACGATAAATCTGTCACATTCTTCCTGGATGGCTTCTCCACCAGCATCAAGTATAGCTTGTGCGACACCAGTGGAGTTGTGTTGGAGATCTTTGTTGGCTGAATTAACAATAACATCCACGTTACGGTCGCAGATGTTGTCCTTGAACACCTTGATGCTTGTACCCCCTGGCGTAAGGAAGCTGCACTCGTAATCCATCTTTAATTTCTTTGCGTTTCTCTTTTCTTCTCCGTTAACGTTACTTGACGAGATGTCTCTCTCGGAATCATAATACTCAATCACACACTGGTTTTCGCTTTCCAGTAAGGCCAACATTTTCTTTCCTCTAATGCGATTGAGGCTTTTTCGCATTCCAGGTTTGTTAACAGGAATCTTCTTTTGTTCGACAGTTGAAGCCAGATCTTGGATCATTTTCATCCCCCTTTCAACTTCATCGCTTGGTCCAGTAACTATGACACCATCTCCGTCACTTTCAGCTATCCCCTTAAAGACCGTAGAATTCTTGTTTAATTCTTCCTGTATTTGGCGAAGCTTCTGTTCCCGGTGCTTCGCCAGAAACCGCCTACAGCCCATACGAAGTTCCAAAACCTTGCTAATAATTGTGTTCTCGTTCAGGAAACGTCTGACACTTTTTACTGCAATTGAAACATCCTCTCTTTTCCCCGCAAGTTGCAACTTCTCGCTGCTTCTATCAAACATGATGCTGAGAATCGACTTTTCACTGAGCTCATCCCTAAACATGCGCCATTTTTCACTTTTTTCCAGCTGAGCCTGACCATCTTCTAAGACAAGGCTTTCTTCGACAATCATCGCTTTCACTAAGTATGACGCCTTTTGAGCTACCTCAGAACTCATCCCCATGACGGCAGCGGTGTTCGGGGATGTTTCTCCCTCTTCAACGTCAAAGGTTACAAGGGCTTGCAAATTGTTGGCTTTAAATCGCTCTTTCATGAATGACTGACAAGCTCTACCTTTAAGCACTTCAATCGCATTCTGAGACATTCGGAGGGTTACTATCTTCACGCTAGAAATTGCTTGCCACACGTCCGCTCTTACCTTTTCAACTACAAGAGAAGGCCCTCGAATATGAACTTCGCATTTGTCCACAAAAATGTCCACGTTTGTGTTTTCATATTTGACTTCGAGTTTTTTGTGAAAGTCGAAGTCACTCAAGAACTCCAGGCGTTGTCGCGGAACTTCTTCAACGGTGATTGTTATTTTAGATGCTTCCAGTGCTAATTGTTTCCTTACCTGGATCTCCAGATCCCTCAATTCGTCCCTTAATTCATCTACATCTTTCCTCTTCCCGGCTAAAAGAATTTTGCACTTCTCGTCCAGGTACTCCACGTTCATGCTGTCTTTCAAGGAGCTTTTATTTTGCTTGAGATGCTCCACAACAGCCTGCCAGGCTTCTGGGGTGACATGCATGGTGTATGTCTGAAACGCAGCGACAAAAGATTCAATTTCTTTGCACGCAACTTCAAATTCATCTTCAGAAGTTTCGGTTCCCAAATTGTAGACAGTTATATTGTTGGATCCATCTTCCCAGCGTACCTTGACGCCATGTTTATCTTGGAGTCGGGCAAAATCAGTGTTATGACGGTCAAAAACAAACTGCATGACTTGGCATTCCACCTGGATTTGTTTATGAAGCTCAAGAACATCAGGTAAAGAGGCTGGCTTACCAAGGACAGGGTTGTGGTGCTTAACTTTCAGCCGCGCTCCGTCGAGTGTATGCTCCTGGGCCATGACACCATTAACAACTGCAATAAAACAAGAAACATAAACACGCTTTATTTCGGTTTCCCGCAAGCAATAAATCAATTGGCAACAGGCTACGAAAGATATCTCTGCTCTGAAAAGGGCTATAATGACTGCCCTCTTAGCGTGACGTTACATACCATCTGGGTTCTCGAAGTAAACTAAAGCCCAGCCATCCTTTATATTCAGTTCTACGCTGCTGACATCACCGCCACCGCTCTTATGTTTTTCAAAGTAGTAACGAAGGGCATCCTTGGTTGTGTTTGCCCTGTTCAACCCTGTCACTTCCACGCAGTGACAAACAGGCACTTGCTCTACCGCCAGCATATTGCCATCAAGAGGTTTCTTTGCAACTATCTGAGTAATAGTATCGTAGCCTGTAATTGTAAAAAATACCATCGGCTAATTAATATGTGACCAGTATCCACTTACCGTGTGGCACACAATTTTTGCGGGTACCAATATTTGCGATTTTTCCAGCGATTCGCAAAAATAAGCTCCCGCCGCAAAAATTACCGCAAACATTTTTTCCGCAAAAATTTACTCCAGAGTAAATATTCTCTTGCTTAAGTTCGCTGACCAAGATACAGTATTAAGAATTCGTGTATTTTCAATGACCACTTGTCTGAAGATTCCGTTCTTTCAGTCACTGAAAATGTTATTGAAATCGAATGGCAAAGACAGGTAATCTGGTTTACTGGTTTTACATATGGTGCGCGCACGGTAGTATGGTCTGAAAATATGTATTTCTATCGCACGTACTCGATAAAAATGAAAATATTACCAATGATTTGTCAGGGACTTTCTGAAAATAACAAATTGTTTTTCCCAGCGAGAAAAACCAATCTGTCCCAGTCGCAAAATCAGTTTCTTAAAAACAAAAAAAGTGGCCTCTCCGAAAAAACAAACTCCCGCAAAAATTTCGTGCCACACGGTATTTTAATGGTGAAAGAATGAAAGATGGTAAATTTTAAGCACAGTGAACAAATGTGACGATGAAAAATAAACGATGAGACCTAATGAATTTATGTATAGGACTTGATTAGCTTTGCAATTTAAAGTTTTTTTTCTAGAAAAGTTCTCATTATCGAAGCTTTTCGTGATGATGCATTCCAAAAATGGTCAAAATGTTTCCAGTTTTCTTGGTGATAAGTTCACAATTTAACCTGCGCAAGGCATATCAGGGATCTCTAAAGTTAAAAGAGCGTAGCCATATAAAAATCATAAGATAGGACCTGAAATGTTTCATCTTTAAAGAAATAAAAAGACAATGGCATTCCTTAAACGAATTACTCTCGGGATTTCTATGCGCACGATCCACAAGCAACTCGTGAGAATGTGTCTGAACTCTTGTTGAAAGAACTTTGAATTTGCTTTGCTAATGAACGTAAACCCATACATCCTTGAAGCCTCATCATTGATGGTTTATTATTTTTAAGCGAAAACGTGTTTTCAATCAGGTACATCATACTCAGCCTCATCCAATAACTGATCATTAAACCAAACAAACTAACGTACTATATGTGTCCTGGAATAGAACTAGTGCACAGCCTTGCTCTCCAAATTGTATATCTGATACTTCCAGTCCACTTGCTACTTCCATGAAAGACTCTAAGCCGTCCCTGGTAGTTTTTTTACTCAGACCTTTCACAAAAAGCGTCTTGGTATCAACTGGCAGTTTCTTGGTTGGTTTGCGCAGTGTGACCGTCAGCTTTGCTTTGTCAAGGGTGAGATTTTCTTTATTCAAAACTCCTCGTGCACCTTAAATATAACATTAATAAAATTGTTAATGCAAATTCCACGGAAATGCATGTCGATCTTGAAGGATAGGGAATTACGAATTATAACGACTGGGGAACAACTAACTACATGAGCAATATGTTAGACCACGAAAGTACAAAAGCCAGAACTCCTTGTCTTTAGAAGCTTTTCAGCTCATAAAAAAAATAGCACAGGAATTTTTTAACCATCATGAGCAGCTTATTTTCTTTTCCAGGACATTGAGCTGTCTTCTAGGGGCGGGATGAACAGGTTGCTTAATGGATGTATTGTGGAAAATAAGGAAGGAAATCAGGTCCCATTTTCTTCTTTATGAACGTTTTCGCCTATCGTATAAAAAGTGCACCTCGTTTCTAGTTGATTAATAGGGATAGAAAAGAGAAAAAAAGAAAACAGACTAACGATATTTTTAATGGGGCCTAGTTTCGGTTATCAACAAACTCACTTTCAGTTGACATAAACGTTATGACAGCAAATCCTTCTTCAGGATTGAATTCCATGCTATGTATATCTCCGCCGCCGGATCGTCGAGCGTTTTCAAAAAAGTTTCTGATAGAATCTTCAGTTGTTGTCGGAGCAAGTCCATTTAATTCAATGGTTCGAGAATCTTCAATATCTTCTTGGTCAGTCTGCTCAGCTGCCGCGATGCCTGCTTTAACGGCTAGGGAAGCTCCGTCCAAGCAGTGCTGTCGACGTAGTAACACAGTCTTTAGAACTAAAAGTGAAGAAATCGAAAGATTGGTTGTTAGATGTTTTTCACTTTTAGGTAGTGAATACAGAATGTGTACCATAATTAATTCAATCGATCAATTCTTTCTACGTTCACTTTGTTATGGTCTCCCTGTGCGTTTACCACATAGAGTTATTACATGCGGACGCATAGATTCAATTAAACGTGGTTGTAGTGAACCGCCATGTTGACCGGGTGTGTTCTCCGAACTCTCGTCAGTACATGACAGACTTTTTAACATGGTGAAATTTTGAATGGGTCTGACTCAGTCAGACGGTGTGGTTTTAAGAAAGAAGGTTATAAAAACTGCTTGTCGAAACAACTCTTACGGTAAGGTGTATGTGGCGGTGGGGGGGGGGGGGGGGGGGGGGGGGGGGATTTCTTTTTCCAGGGGGAGTGAGGAATTCTCTTTACACTGTCGTTTGATTTGAGGATGAGCCAGAAAGACTGGATACTATTAAAAGGAGAACCTTTCTTCAAGACTGTGGGCTGTTCTGACAGGTGATCTGAGATTGGAACAATGGCCAGGTCGTCACTGTCACAGTAGCGAGTTCGTTGTGGATATCAAACGTGTCTTTATACTAAGCGAGTTAATTAAAAGGGAATTTACAGATTTTTTGTCACGGCAAAGAAAACTGTCTTTTATGAAAGAAATTCCGTACAGAAGGGGTTCTAAAACGCAACTGCATACAGCGCTGACGGGAACCTGTGACGTCAATCAGGATGGTTGGCTGTTTGGATTTTGATAAAAACTGAAAAACCCAACTTTTATGAGTGCAAAATGTGTCTGAGAAGAAAAATGACTACTTTGTAGCTGCTGAAAAGAGGAAGGTCTGGTCTAAAGACATTTTGACAAAAATCCTGGAAAAAATAGTTGAGAGGGTGGGGTGTACATTTCAGGGTTGAAAGGAAGAAAGCCAATAAGTAACAAGACTGAAAAATGAGGACATTATGATGGTTAAAATGCATAAATCGGTGGAGACATTTCAAAGTGCACAATCGGTACAGGTTGGAAATACGGCCGCGCCCATGCTCCTATAACTGCAGTTTCACATCTTTTCAATAGTACAAAATGTTTCTTTTGTCCCTTTCTTCCTGTTTTCCCTCTTCCTGGCTAACTGAGGTCTTGGAGCGGGGTACACAATGACTTACCATCTGCATCCGCGAAGGTCACAAAAGCCGTGCCTGTGTCATGTTGAATGTCTACACTTTCTACCGCTCCACCACCAGATCGCCGCTTGTTTTCAAAGTAGTTCCAAAGGGAGTCTTCAGTGGTTTTTGCAGCAAGGCAAGTGACCATGATGGTTTTGGCAGCTTCCTTGAGTTTTTCAGACATCTCTTTGGTGACTTCGAGATTAGCTCCATTCAAATTGTGCTTGTCTTTTTCACAAAAACGTTTGGCCACTAGAACAACCGGATTTTGTGTTGAGGTTTGGTGGTCAATTGACACATCCATAAAATTATTATCAGCAACAAGAAAAAGTTTTAGTGACTACTTTAATATAAAAGACAAATAAAACAAAACGAAAAACAACTGTGATTTTACAGAAATAAAATTCGTTCTGTCCGTACCTTGATAAATTATAAAACATTGTTGAGTTACGGTTTGAAATTCAAATTAGTTCACCAAGCAAATTAATGTTTAAATTACGCATTGCTACAAATAAATCTGTTGCCTTTAGAATACGATCTTTTTCCTTTAAATTGAGTTTATGACTTTCTCCTTATCGTTGCTGCTGTTTTTTTTAGTACCTTTACAGCTACAGTTTGAAGCTTCACTTATGAAGCTACCTTTAAAGTTGTCTCATCTCGGCCAATAAAACTGTCTTAAATTAGTAAAAATTGTGTGTTTCAAATTACCTTCTGATGATTCAAACTCTACTCTAGCTGAATTTCCGTTGATTTTCAGTTCCTTAACTGGCCCGCCACCTGAACGCCTTGTGTGTTCCAAATAGTTCCAAAGACCATCCTCAGTTGTATTCTTGGAGAGTCCACGGATGAGAACAACACTGGACTGAAAGTGAAGGTAACAATTCAACGCAGTGAAATCGTTATTTCTCCTGAGGTTTAAGACCAGTAAAGATAATTAGAACCTGTCTGCTGTATAATAAAAAAAAACACGTATTTTAATAACTCGATCTTAGTGTAACCTGAGAAACACCTACGAGGTACGAGAGATCTATCTCAATCATACAAAACTGACAATTTACTTTGCCACAAGACAGATGCATCCGTGGCTCTGTCACAGCGTAGATGAAGCCATAGGGGCCTCGTGCATGACGTCTTTTTTTTATACTGATTTGATTTTATAAAGTTACAAGTTCAGATTTAAAGGTTTCAAAGTCTTGGTCTTGCTCCTCGAAGATCTTCATCTACAGATCGAAGTTTAAAGCGGTTGACAAAGAACTTGATAATAATATATACACGTCTTATTCCTTAGTTTTGACTCTAAGCTTTTTGAGTTAAAACCCGCTGTATTCTTTCGTAGCTTAAGTATTGTTCCACTGTATGGCACACGTTTTGTCTTGAAAGCGACTGTGATAAACTAGAAAAGCTGAATTAAAGGGCTCTAAGGGGTGTATTCCAAGATACCAGCAATTACAAATCTCTATCGACGCAAGCGGAGAAAACTTCATTTTACAAACAACCACAATCGTTAAAGTTCAAAATGTTGATTCATTAACTTGTTGACTCAGCATTAAAGATTCAATTTACATGTAGCTCTATAGAACGTTAAAATGTTCTCTTCCAGACCCATTACTATTTTTCCCGGGCTACGACTTCTTGTGAGCCGGAGATTTTATCTCAGTGACCAACCTGTAATTCAGGTTCCTCACTAGTGAACGGATGATTCGATACCTCAACTTGTGCACCATTAATAGTATGTTTTTTGAGAGTCACAATTCTTGCATCTGCCAAGAGAAGAAGATAATATCGTTCCATTTATTGGTTGCTTCCCTCAGTGAAACTTGATAGATGTCTGTTATTATACTACTACATGACAAATTTCTGTAATTTGATTGGCTTAGAGCAGTGGTATTTCAGCTTGATTTGAAATGCCTACATGTGAAAATTACAAACCTTTTGCTAGTGGTAGTATAAACAAATAATAGCATGATTTGTATGTGATATTTGACATAAATACCACTCTTGATATTTCAAAGTTGTCTCAAATTTCACTCGCCTAACGATTCGTGAAATTATAACAATTTCGAAATATCACTCGTGGTATTTATGCCAAATATCACTACAAACCATGCTATTACCTATACAAAGAGCACATCACGAATGATTCTAACAGGTATTTTGTCGAAAAATTCTGAACTTAAGCCAAATTTGAGCTCTAAACGTTCGAGAGAGGGGAGTTCTCGATCGATACGATCCAGGATAAACATGTAAAAAATCGAAGATTGCTAACGTAATTCGTCACCCATGATACTAATAGGTAATCAAAGGGTATACTCGTGAAATTAGAGAATAATTTCTCGCGCGTTTTGTCCAAATCCTTATAATTTCCCGAGCCTTTTTCACTCGTCACCATTTGATTACACATACTTATTATACATTGTACTCACTATCTGTCTTCTTATTGGCTAAGAGCCTTCAGTTAATTTTGGAAATCAGCGCAACCTACAAATTAGTTAGTTTAGCTAGAAGATTAGTGACTAATCTGTAGGTTGCGCGCGCAAGGCATGATTTCAAAGAGCTATGTCAAACTGCGTTCCATGCGATGCTGTGTTTGTCCTTATGTTCTTAAATACAATGTATAATATAACAATTATTAGATTCGTTTTTTTGTGATTTCCGGAATAATCAAGGTTTTGGTTAGTGTTATCGGCCTTGGCCCTCGGCTCTGCTGATAGCACTTCCTCGATCTTTATTATTCCGGATATCACAAAAATCTCATCCGATACCCGTTTAGAATCTGATTGGTTCTCAACAAGGCCTACGTTGCGAAAAATTGTATTGCGTGACTAGCGTGACTTTCCAGAAGCTTCGCGAGAGTTCAAAGTTTGTTTATTTTAGGATCTTGTGTAAGCGTTTCTAAAGCGGTATAGTTTGTAATCTTTCTACGATTAGACTATTTGGAAAGTGTTAGAATGTTATTTTAAAAGTATATAAGTACGCGAGTCCGAGTTAAGTTTTAACTAGTTTTCACAAGCGAAGAGACGTTAGTAGTCAAGTGTGACGAAGGCAGTGTTAATTCAAGTTGGCGGAGGCTGTGTAAGTTTATGAATCGAAGTTAATTGTAGTTGGCGGTAAGTTTAACGAGTTACGTGCTGTTGTAGAGTTTTACTTCGTGGAAATTACGTTCATTTTTGGAATAAATTTTCTTGTTGCTGTTCCGACAACCCTGCGTTCAGTTTAGTTTGCAAGCTACCCGTGCTCTGAAAGATTACCCGCGTAACAGCCTAAAATTGCTTAATTTGGCCGATGTAGCACCAGAACCTCCCAATTTGGAGCACCAAGTAGTAACTCTCTGAATCTACCAAAAGTCACTTATATCCTAGTAAGAAACATTTTTTTATATTTTATATTTTATATATATTTTTCTAATTTGAGGCAAATGTTTACCTTATGCTCAAGTAACGGATTATTTCCTCAATAAAATAAACAGACGATGTAATTTTAAATCAGTGAAACCAAAATTTGTGTCCTTGATAGTTTATCTTCGAGTCATTTTTAAAATCAAAAGGTGAAATTACCTTCTGCTGACTCAAACTTGACTCTTGCAGTATTTCCAGTGATTTTGACTTCCTCCACTGGCCCGCCACTTGAGCGCCTTGTGTTTTCCAAATAGTTCCACAGGCCGTCTTCAGTTGTATCCACTGAGAGTCCACGGATGAAAACAATACTGGACTGAAGCTGAATTGGGGTAACAGTGAACGTATAAATGAGGTTGAGACATATTCATTTCAGCTAAATCATCTACCTTACGGACTCTGGTCGATTAACCCTCGGACGTACACGCAAATTTATACCCCCATCGTGGTACAAGGGGCGCTTGAAGGAACCCCTCCCTAGATTTTTTATTTGTTGCAGTATTTCGCAACGATTTTGCCTTCACTGGAAAGCCTTTGATCTTCTCAATAAGATAAGGTATATTTTATGGGTGGTAGCGCTGCTGGAGGCCTGTGACGTCACTAACAGGGGTCGCCATCTTGGATTTTACCAAGAGTTAGTAATCAGGTTAAAACCGCAAGAATTGTAATTTTTTGTGCTTGACATATTAAATAACACATAAAAAGCATTTTGCATCATTTTTTGCACAATCTTTACTTTTATTATTGAAACAAGTTGAGAAAACATGCATTTTCACTCAAAAAAGGCTTGACAATCGGCTACTTATGACGTCACGTCTCGTAACCATAGCAACTGACCATCACGAAACTGGTCTCAAAATGCGTGCGAGGGATAAACGAACAGCTATTGAAAACGTCAGGTACGTGCTGATGTTTTATCGTCGAAGAAAAACTCAGAAAAACCTCAGATGAAGGGGGGGCGGGGGGGCGGTGGAGGGGGTTTGGCGACCACCCCCTGGCACGTCCGAGGGTTAAGTGATCATATCTACTCAGTCAAAATGTTAATCCTCATGAGCTGGTGATGGGTTGCATTGGCCAAAAGCAAATCCAAACTAGCAAAAACCTTATAGCCATTCAGATAAGCTATTGGCAATTCCTTGAAAATTAGTTATTTATAATTACTCAAATTTTGGAGCATTGTGTGTCAGAAGGGTTGATTATTTTAAAAAGGATAAGCACCAAGGAGTTTCCTGTCCCGAACTCGTCCCCTTTTCACCAGAACGTTATCGGCTTCATACTCAGTAGAGTTAGCACTGTTTCTACAGATTGCTCCTGACTGACTAACCCGAAACCTTTCAAAAACCTGACCCATTATCACCCTTGGCCTAGAAACCAAGTTAGGGCAATCATGGAGTCATTATTACTTTTACAAGAGATTTCACTTCAGTGGCTGACCTGACTTGACGACAATTGCGAGTTTTCCTCGGTGAACGGATGGGATGACATTTCAACTTGTACTCCGTTGACCGTATGTGTTCTGAGAGTCACTTCTCTAGCAACTACCAAGAAAGAAATGCAATATTATTACCTTTTGCTAAAAGAGGTTGTGTCATTGCTAGCTTAGTTCATTTTACTTATAATCCCAATTGCATGTCCTTTTTAGCTACGAAACTTGAGAAATCACTAGTAAATGACAAAATTACAGCCTCGTGTCATACTAGTATGTCTCCTGCAGCATTATATCAAAACGTTACGAACACCAAAAGAGAACTGTGAAAACCGATAGGCTAATAAGTTTTCAAAAACCGTCAGTACAATCCGTTTTAATCTTCTTCAATTTTGTCCATCCACATATCCGTTTCTATTTGTGGTATTATTTAATCCTTTCTTCGAACTTTTTGAGCAGTTATTTTGTTTCACCCCATTTAGTGGAAAATTTCCACTGTTTGAATTTTGATAGATTTCGTGACACAACTCCTGATCTACAAGCGCGTTTTCGTTATCACTTAAACTTTCTAGATACCTGTTACACTAACACTACAATCTTTATTTCGCCCTCAGATAACCAGGTCCTCTTAACCTTTATAAAGGGTAGAAAGAAACGTAACCGACTTTGCGTAGATATTCTTGGCTGAATGATCAAATGTGATGTTGATTTTCGGAACTCCAATAATAGTTACTGAGAGTGGCTTTGAACAAAGTACATTTTAACCTCCACGCCGATCACAAAATTGACATGCTCATGTGAGACTTCATGAGACAGGGTTTTATTCATGCTTATCCCTTTCTTAAGGTCGCTATCGCTGTTGCAGCGCACTACAACGCGTCTTAACTGTCGTTTTTACCTTTTAAGGTGAGCCGACCTATTTATATGCGTGTTGGTTATGTTTTTGAATTGTGTTTTTCGGGAGGAATTATTTAACCGATTTCCATGATTTTTGGCATCCTTAATAAAGAATGGTCGAACTTTAAGAAAATGCTATAGACAAGACAAGACAAGACAAGACATTTATTGTCGTAACATTACAAGTACAATTGTTTGGCACGAAGGTAGCAAGAAAACGCTAGTCGAGGCGTGCCAAATTAATTCTATTACAAATCAGATATTATATTATAACAAGTAAAAAGCAAAGAAAAAGAGAAGAAGAAATATGTGTAATGAATTTAAAAGCAAGAAAGACAAATCTGAAAGAGGCTAAGGTTTAGGATTTCGCGATTTTATTTCTTGTGTTATCATGGTTGCATCAAGGTAATCATCTTTGTCTTTTAATATTTCGAAGAGCACACTGATTAATTTTCGTTTGAACACTTTTTTGACATATCTCTCATTCTACCTGGTATCTCATTCTATACTTTAGCGCCAAAAATTGGGACGGCTTGTCTTAGTTTTTCAAGATTAAATGTTTTGATGTACATATCATTTTTAGAGGATGATCTTGTGTTATATTCATGAATAGATGATGTCTGCGAGAACAAGTTAACGATTTTTGAGGGTGCAAGAATTAGTATGAATATCATGCATTAGGTAAGATACGGACTTACAATAAAAAGAGGAATGGCATGAACTTGCTATTTATTTTCTTATAGGTGAAAAAACGTTTGAGATATCGGCATATGCTTAAAACCACATTCTTGCAAAAAATGTCAATAATTTCAGAACCCTAAGACAGATTTTTCTCTAACTTCGGCAAATAAGCCTCAGAGCTCCCCAGTTTTATATCTGCAAGTTTGAAGTCGATCGTGACCGTAGAACTCGCTGCACAAATAGCTGGTCAAATTAAAACTTAAAATGCAACGCTAACACATTTGTGAAAGTTGGCACACAAATAGAGGACAACTGCCGACGAACTATCTCCTATCTGCAAGGGTATTCTTGCCCAAAGCTTCCGTTGCAAGAAATTGAGTAATCAGAAAACTATGGCGAATATAGTTCGCAATACAAGAAAAATAACTTTGTGCTGACTGCGGGGCAAGATTAAAAAGCTTCTTTTTATCAAAGTCACTGTGTATTTTCCCTTCTTTTTTCGCAAAAAATCTCAACAAAGCACGATATAACATGTACGGAAATCTCTTATCAGTTTTTATCACTGAAGGTTCCCGTCTTGAGGAGAAATAAAGCCACCAACTTCAGTACTTCAACCGATTCATTTTCAGCTGCAACGAAAACCCTTGTATTAGGTAATTTATTCAAGTCTGACAGATTTGTCATCACTTCGCACGCGCATTTTGCCATTGGGGATAATGAAAAGAATAAGACGATTGTCATATTTTCTTCAACTTTATTCCCAAGTGGCAAACTTAGCGTGCGAATGTGATGTCAACTCTAAAAACCTTGAATAAATTACCAAGTACAAGGGCTTTCAATGCAGCTGAAAAATGGACCGTTAAAAGTACTGGAGTTGGTGGCTTTATTTCTCCTCAACACGGAAACCTGCGACGCTAAAAACGCTTGAGAGTTTTTCGTAGATAATATAATTTGTCTTGTTAAGAAAGGTTTCGAAAAGAGGGGGACAAACACAAAGTAAGTTTGATAAACAGAAATTCTTTTATCTTGTCCCTCATTCAGCATAAAGTTGTTCTTCTTGTATTGCGAACTGTATTCGTCTTATGTTTCTGATTACTCAGTTTCTTGCAACTGATCATGAAGCTTTGGGAAAGAATACCCTTGCAGATAGGAGATAGGCCGTCGGCAGTTTCCCCCATTCCTGCGTCAACTTTCACAAATGTATTAGCGTTGCATTTTAAGGTTAAATATGTCCAGCTATTTGTGCAGCGAGTTCTACGGTCACGATTGACTTCAAACTTGCAGATATAAAACTTGAAAGCTTTGAGGCTTATTTGCCGAAGTTAGAGAAAAATCTGTCTTAGGGTTTTGAAATTATTGACATTTTTTGAATGTAAAAATGCGGTTTTTACATATGCCGATTTCTCAAACCTTTTTTTGCCTATAAGAAAATATATAACATTTTCTTAAAGTTCGACCATTTTTTATTAAGGATGCCAAAAATCATGGAAATCGGTTAAATCATTCCTGCCGAAAAACGCAATTCAAAAACATAACCAACGCTCATATAAGTAGGTCTGGGCCACCTTAACAGCTGTTTAATGGGGTCTGTGAATTACAAGAAATATTTCTCGAACTCCAAACTTGTTTACTGTTATCTAAAGTCACGTCTTCCTTAATTCACGTTTCTATCGTCCTTGCAAAAGGTGTGATTACCTTCTGATGACTCAAACTTGACTCTTGCTGAATTTCCAGTTATTTCCAATTCCTCCACTGGCCCTCCACCTGAACGCCTCGTGTTTTCCAAATAGTTCCACAGGCCATCTTCAGTTGTATTATCGGAAAGTCCACGAATGAAAACAACACTAGCCTGAGGGTGAATGTATGGGTGACAGAAAAAGTAGACGCAATACGCAGTTAAGAACATTCGTTAAGCTCCTAGCTAAATTGTCTACCCTCACTCAAGTAAGATGAATTTATTGCACCTCAGTGAAAATGAATGCGTTGACCAAAAGCATGTTATTTCAACTTTACCGGGAAAGACCCTATCGCCAATTGAAATTGCAACTGTCAATCCATGTATAGGTTAGATAAAAAAGTTTTCTTTTGAGAATTTTACTTCAGAAATGGAGTATCAAGGAATTAAAGAGGCCCTGTGGCTTTCTATAGCTTTCTGCCCAGGCCTATTTTCTCTTTCCCTCCACTAGGCAGGTTACAGGGAAATGAAAAGCTCTCACTGGTTAACACGAAATTTCCAACAAAAAATTCACGAATTGTAGCCCTTATTTTACTACCTTACAAGATGTCAATAATGTTGAGACTCAATAGAGTTGGATTCACTATGTAACAATCCAGATGCCTCCTTTTTGTTGTTAAAAGGAAAATGCACAGACGCTACAAGCTGCTATTAAAAGAGATTCCACCTCAATGACTGACCTGACTTGTCTGTGATTCAGAGTTCTCTTCTGTGAACGGATGGCACGACACCTCAACTTGTGCTCCGTTAAAACTATGTTTTCTAAGAGTTACATTTACAGCATCTGCAAAAAAAAAAAAAACCATTGTTACCTATCTCTTGAATATATTGTACCTTCGTAAGTGTTTATTCTAAAAAAGACCTTAGCCCTTTACTGAAGCTGGGCGGACACATGGCAAATGTCGTTTAATGCAAAGTGCACCATCCTAAGAGTCTCATGCTCGAAATCTCCAGCATCCACGGAGAACGCTTGCAAGCTGTACATCACAGCAAATACCTTGGAGTTGAGCTACCCAGTGGTCTAAATTGGGATGTTCATTTTGCTGGTATTATAGACAAAGCCAACAGATCTCTTGGCTTTATGAGACGAAACCTAAATTAGTGCCCAGAAAACGTAAAAGAACACGCCTATCTCGCTTTAGTTAGACCACAGCTTGATCATGGATGTTGTACACGAGACCAGCACTTTCAAAAGCAGATAAAGGACATTGAGAGTGTGCAGAGACGAGCGGCACGTTTTGTTAAAAATGAATACAGCACCACTCCCGGAACTGTCGTGATAATTCTGAATGATCTGAAATGGCCAACACTCGAGAAAAGAAAGAAAGTGGCACGACTCACAATGATATTTAAAGTAGTTTCTAGTCTATCAGCTATGCAATTTCCACCCTATATATCATTTAAAATTAAGGCGACAGGGCACTAGGCAATTCCACCCTAAGACATTCATTCAGAGAGACTGGAACTCTTTACTAAATAGTGTCATTGAAAAGCAGTCAGAAGAGGCTTTCAAAAAGACCGTCATGTGCCAATTTTAATTCACGGTTCTGCCGTCCTTGGAAAAGATTTACTTAATACCTTTTGCTGACTCAAACTTGACTCGAGCTGAATTTCAAGTGATTTTTAATTCTTCTACTGGCCCGCCACCTAAACGCCTCGTATTTTCCAAATAGTTGCACAGGCCATCTTCAGTTGTATCCTTGGACAGTCCACGAATGAAAACAACACCAATCAGGGAAAGAGAAACAAAAATGTTCTTATAAAGAAAATAGGGGTGAAGCAAAATCTTCTTGGTAATAC